TGTAAATAATTAAATTATAATTCTAAGTTAAAAAACAGTTTAAAAGTTGTATATACATATAACGTATCTGTGATAAAGAAATACATGTACCTGAGATTGAGTTTTAACTTATAAAGAGGTGAGACCAAAGGATGGACCGATGAGTGTCACTAGATTTTAAACAAGACTACTTTATTTTTATTTTTTATTTTCAGTATGTAGATTCATTTCCACCTTCAGTTTAAAATAACAACAAACATGTGCAATAAATTTAATTGTCTTAAAAAACTGGGTGAAGTACGCAATTTTATTCTTATAATGTATGAGTACATGATGTTTTATGTAATCCTGTTAATGTAAATTTGTTTTCAATAAATTAGGCCCTGAAGATGGCAGAACATTCGCCGAAAGCTTGGTGAAACCCAATAGTGATGTTTTTTATTCGCCTGTAAATGACCTCAAGAAGATCCAATACATCAATTTGAATTATATGACATTGAAAATGTAAAAAAATAGATTTATTAACATGTGAAATACAAAAATGACTATATATTTGGGCACCATTAAAGAAAATGAGGATAACAAAGAAACCAGCACTTTGGATGACACAAAATCTTCTTAAATTAGGAAAAGAAAGAGAACTATTTAGAGTCTATAAAAGAAGTAAACCTGAATATAACTATTCATTTATAAAATAAGAAGAAATAAAGTAAAAAATGAAGTAATAAATAAAAGATTCAACTATAAAAAAAATATGTTGTTATATAAAAGATTCAAAACAATTTTGAATAACAATAAAAAATATTGGAATAATAAATTATAAAAATCAATTAATAGGATCAAAAATTGATTTAAACAATTATTTCAGTAAGTTAGTTAATGAAATCAAAGTAAATAGTGAAAAATTTTGAAGTATTGCAAATAAAAAAGATCATAAAATCATTATAGATATTGTACTAAATATAATGGATTATAGATATTGATCAATTTACAAACCAGGAAATAGAACAAGCTATAAATAGTGTGAAATCGCTGGCAATCAGGCCAGACAAAATCCATATAAATTTTATTACTAAACATTATTTTATTTTTATTACTTATTATTACTCATGTTTTCAATGATTGTTTAAATCACAATGCATGTCCTAACCAGTGGGAAAACTCATATATCAGTTGTTAAAAAATCACCACCAAGTAATCCTAGCCTTTTTAATAGAATTAAACACATTTTCAAAAATATTTGATAAAGCTTTGTGCAAAAAAAGCTAAACAAATTTATTTATGAAGGAAAAATATTAAACATTAATAAATTTGGATATAAAAAATGCTATATGCTAAAAATGTTTAAACAGCTGTAATAAAATTATTAGATAATGCTAGAAATAATATAAATAACAGCAAAATAACATCATTAGTAATTACTGATTTTAGCTGTGCCTTCAGTAGTTTACCTCATGCACTATAACTTAAAATTTTAAAATCAATTGGATTTAAATCATTATAAATTTTAAATAATTAAAAAATAAATTTGATAAATTATATTATAAATTAAAAATTATAAATTTTTCTTCATTATAAATTATTCTAATTAATTATTCTTTCTTATCTAAGGTTTTTGGTTGAGATGAAAAATTAATTTAAATTTAATTTTTCATCTCAACCAAAAACCTTAGATAAAAAGAATAATCAATATGACCACTAAGCAAATATGGATTAATTATAAATTATATTTGTAAACGACCAAAGGAATCTAAATCATAATAAATATATATTGTAAACTGTACGACTCAGACTAAGTGTAG